GTGCAAAGTTCCTGAAGTAAACTGATAAAACTTGTTTTAGGTCGATAGTTTTACTGATTTGGCCAAGAACGAAAAGCAATAAATTTCAATTTGTTGTCAAAAATACATTTTTTGATGGACTTGTGTTTTTGGTTCTGTCCATCCATGTGTGCCTCCGTCAATCGTCATATCTTGGACATGCATGGACAGATTTTGTTCAAATTTGTTACAAAGACAAGCCATAATTGGATACATGTGTATGTTGACTTGTTTTTAGTCTCCATTCAAAACAGAGACTTATAATTTGCTCTCTGTCTGTCTGGAGTCGTATTTCAGAAACTTCTGGACCGAATCCGTTCATTCTTTACATATTGGACATGCAGTGGTTTAGCTATTCAATGCAAGATGGCTGACTGCATGGTGTTTTTTCAATCACATCAAATATGATCGACTGGCAGCCATCTTTTTTTGTTCAAATTTGGTATATACATGTATATTATACATCTTGTGATGCATGTTCACAATCGGATCCAAAATGGTTTATTGACAGCCATCTTGTTTTTTGAAAATCTATCATTGACATGCTTTTTCTTCTCCTTCAAATTATGTTAGGATACATGTCCAATCCAATCCAATTACAATCAGATCAAAGATGGACGACTGGCAGCCATATCTATTTATGGCCATCTCTTTCACCTATGTATTGTTTTCATTGATATTTTTCAAACATGTGTCATAAATGGATACATGTTCATTTTAGGATTTGATTAAAGATGGCCGTCTGTCTTGTAGAGATACATGACTTGTGCATGATGATTCATTTTATGACCGGATCAAAGATGGTCTACTGCCAGTAATCTTACCTTTTGGCCATACAACTATATCTCTGATACCCATGTACAGTCCCACATCATAATACATGCCTATATTTATTTATAGGAATAATTTCCAAAGGTTGTTAAATGTTGATAGTCAAAAAATCAAAATAATGAAAATATTAATAGATGTGGTGAAACAAATCTATAACTGTTTTAATATACAAGAAAATTCAATTAAAAGTAAAATGTTTAAACCAGCTGCTTCAGAAAATACAAATTAACCATTTTTTTATGTCTAGAAATTTGAGTGTCTTGTTAGTGTTAGTTATTATTTATGTTTTCTGAGTTTTTTACTTTATTGTACTTTTCATCAAAATCTCAAATATGAGGTACAATAGCAATAAAGATTCTATTCTGAATAAAAAAAAAATGTACACATAGATCATTTAGGATTAATTAATAAATGACAAAATTTCCTTCTAAGATGCATATTAGCTCATAAAACTATGAGTGTGAGTAAACTTTAACTGAATACTCCAAGTTGTATATATTGTCAAACATAGATTCTCTGTTAGTCACATGTTCATGTTTGAGTTATGCTTCATTCTCATTAAATTGTGAGGTACCTTAATTTTCTGCCATGAAAACATTGTTAGAAAGGGTATCATTTGTTAACAACATAACAATTAAGATGGCAAAAGTTTCCTTACTAGAAACAAGGACTTTACTTTAGCTTGAATAAAAAAATTGCATAAATATGAGAAATAGCAAATACAAATATAAATATATTAGATTGCAAACTTCTGAAAAAAATTACCAGGTCACATGATCAGTGATTTTATATCCGATGTGATTGCATATAATATGCATGTTGCAATACATGTCGATAACAATTCAATTTGTGATCAGATAAAAGATGACAAACAGAGATTTTTCACAGATTTGGTGCAAATTTTGTACAAAGGCAGGATGTTTTGGTTTGCTATTTGATTCAAGATGTCCGACTGGTTAATGTGTGGATTATACACTTTTGTGCAATATCAGAATCTAAGAGTTATCAATTTTATGGAACATAAATGGATAAGTGCCATTTGAAATAACACTGTATTTTTAACATGCTGAATAAACATTTATTTATAATCGTACATAATTGACAGTCACTAAAAAAATGAATGGGGCCCATGTCACAGACAATGTTATTATCTAATTGTTTTTTTATAATAGTGCTTTTCATCACAATGCTTTTTTGCTGAAATTCTGCCAGAAAAACTGAAATATAGGTCTGTGTCTTATAAGTAATTTCACTTCAAAATCTAGGGTATCTGCATCCTCAGGTTAAAAAAAAATTGTGTCCAAACCAGGATCAGATTTACAGACCTCCCATCTACATTGTACTACCATATATGCACATTGTTGAGAGATTCCTATCACTTATCAATGTGTGTACATTTATATGAGGCACTACAAAGCAAGTCCAAACCTGTAACGTCCTATCAACTCGTAGCCTCGGGATGAGTATCATCAAAAGAAATGTAGTATTCAACAAGGTTACGAAAATCAACAAAGAAATATTAAAGAATTGTGAAAATATTATTTGCAAGAGTTTAAACAATAAAATAAGATGAAAACTTTAATGTTATTGTCGATTTCTTTCTAATTGATTTGACATATAATGAGGTTAAATATACGGAGGGCTCAAACTCATGTACATTTGAAAATTATTTTTGAAATATCAGTCAGAGCTGTAGTTGTCGCGCATGGGCGAGATGTATGGGACTCATATATACAAAGATGGCGACTTTGACTGTTGCCCAGATCAATGAGTACAAACTGACACGTTTCCAAGCTTTAATTAGGTAATTTTAATGTGATTGGAAGATATCGAAGGAGTCACCGGCGGTAATCAGTGCAAGTCGTGCCCAGGTCAAACCTCATACTTGGGATTTCCATTTGAAGAGTGCATTGGATTGTGGGAAAATCACAAATGTAGAACATGCGCAGTGCGTTGACTACCGCACTCTAACCTCTTCAGCACCAGACTTTCTCGCCCATTTTTTTGTGACTTTTTCTCAATTTTTCTACAATATTTCTGGAAATGAACCCTAATTTTGGAGCCAACAGACAAAATTTGAGTCAATTTTCAGTTTTTACTAAAACAAATTGGCTATTTTTGCTTCAATCTTCTGAAGGAAAGTGCAGACTATAAACGGGACTATTTTGTGAATTTGTGATGAAAATAGGGAACTGGTGGTGAAAAGTTTAATAAATAAATAAATATAATGTGAGCGAATCATCGAATAGAGTGGAATACTTGCTTAGTCAATGCAATCACTTTGTTTGTATTTTTAATGTGACTAATGTCACTAAATATATATAATATAAACATTAGTTTTTATCCTTTTTTTTTTCATTACAGGAGAGACCAAATATAAATGTGATGTTTGCAGTAAACAATTCCGGCATTTGAGTCATTACAAAGACCACTCCAGGATTCATTCTGGTAAGGAGGATCAAAGTGCAAAGTTCATAGTTCAAATGAATTAGATGGTAACAATATTTAATCAAGATTAAATCTTGTTTGAATCCTATGAAATATCTTCTTCAACAGTTATGTCATTTACTCTGGTGGTTGGAAAATTACTTTGTTATAGATTATTACAAATCCATTTAAAATAAGGTTGTCATACTTCTTACTATGGTAACAGAGTTAATACAAATACTTCAGTATTAGAGTTTTGAAAGTCTATTATCCAAATTTGTTGTTTTGGGAAATATGTTACATTGAATATGCAGTCGTCAAAAGTGATTGATATAACAAGAAATTATGGTAAATTTTTTTGTAAACAAAGAATTTAAATTAATCAAAAAGGATGATAGAATGTAATGATTAAAACAGATAATGCATGTTGTCATGACAACTACCTCCTTGCCAATCAAACAACACACACCAAGACATGACATGACTGCATGCAGGTTTTTAGTGCAGGGAGCAAACAGTCAGTCTTGTTTACCTTAGATGACCTTTAATCTTTTGTCACTACTCCCAAAATAAACCTGCATATTTTCTTTCTATATTCTTTCAAAAATCAAGATCTGTAACCAATTATTTGCTGAATCATAATCACTGGAAATATCCAAACTGCTTTCAAGTTCACCATTTGACTTTCCATTGTGGAAATCATGAGCAGATTTTTGCTATAGTCCTATTATTGATTTTTTTTTTGTTAATTATAATAACAAAGTAATTTCACTAGTTAGTATGCAAAGTGCACTTGGTCATGATTTTCAAGAAATGGGTTTCTATTTAAAAAAGTTTTTAACAAATTGACAGATAACTACAATGTAAAATTCTATAATGAGATACCTACAGTCATATTACCTTGCATGGCCTATGAGCAGTTCTTTAAGATGACTTTTAATATGGTATTCAGAAACTATTGCAATGGAAATGGGCTGCTAGGCATTAAACATCCAAGCACATAAACCAACCATTCATATTCATGCTAAATTGACATTGCACAATTGTTGTTGCCATGGTTACAATGAGACATTAACAAAAGATGAAAAAAAATGAGGTTTACTGCAGATTTATTTCCATAGAGACTCAGGTGAATTTTGTATATACATTATTTTTAATATTACAGCTATACTTTGATAATTATCAGAATAGATTTATGGACACAAAGATGACACCATCTCCATGGTTACCATCCTTGGCAGTTTGCTTCATAAATTCTATACTAGTATTAAATTAGTTAATTTATTTAATTATTAGTCATTAAATTATGATGAACTACCAGTAAAAGACAAGAAAATACAGGAATTTGTGACAATGGCAATTAAATGCATTTCCTGGACATTTTAATTAATAGATTGATGTTTAGATGTGGAAGGTAGGAGAAAATAACTATGACTGGACATGTAACCCCATCTGCAACCATTGGATGAACAATGTAGGGATTGGTAACAAAGCCTTGATGGAATCCTTGTTTATAGTTTATTTTGGAAGAATCATCGTCAAATGATTGAAGCAAAAACTGAGACGTATCTATGTTGGCAAGACTGAAAATCCCAAACCACACCCTATGATCTTGCTAATCAGGGTACTATGCCAAGATCGCAAACCACACCCAATAATCTATCTAATCAAGGTACTATGCCAAGATTTCAAATTACACCAATGATCTAGTTAATCAGGGTACTATGCTAAGATTTAAAACCACACCCTATGATTTAGCTAATCAGGGTACTATGCCAAGATCCCAAACCACACCCTATGATCTAGCTTATCAGGGTACTATGCCAAGATTTGAAACCACACCCAATGATCTATCTAATCAGGGTACTATGCCAAGATCCCAAACCACACCCTATGATCTAGCTTATCAGGGTACTATGCCAAGATTTCAAACTACACCCAATGATCTATCTAATCAGGGTACTATGTCAAGATTTCAAATTACACCAATGATCTAGCTAATCAGGGTACTATGCCAAGATCCCAAACCACACCCTATGATCGAGTTAATCAGGGTACTATGCCAAGATCCCAAACCACACCTTATGATTTATCTAATCAAGATACTATGCCAAGATCCCAAACCACACCCAATGATCTAGCTAGTCAGGGTACTATGCCAAGATCCCAAACCACACCTTATGATCTATCTAATCAAGATACTATGCCAAGATCCCAAACCACACCCAATGATCTAGCTAATCTGGGTACTATACCAAGATCCCAAACCACACCCTTTGATCTAATCAGGGTACTATGTCAAGATCCCAAACCATACCCAATGATCTAACTAATCGGGATACTATACCAAGATCCCAAACCATACCCTATGATTTAGCTAATCGGGATACTATTCCAAGATCCTATACCACGTACACTCTATGATCTAGCTAATCAGGGTACTATGCCAAGATCCCAAGCCGCACCCTTTGATCTAGCTAATCAGGATACTATTCAACGATTGTTGATAGGCAGTCATAATAAAAAATTTTACTGCAATTTATGCATTTAAAAATGAGGAAAATATCAAAAGAATTTCAGGGCAGTCGGGATATTCCATACTTTCCATACAGCATCTCTTTTTCAGACGTTTTTTTAGCTCTGCTGTAAACTTAGTATATGGATTGAAGCTGTTCATATTACTAATTGTTTATTGTCAGCCAGTCGTCTGCATCAACTTTTCATTTGTTTATATCATGAAGACATCTTCAAATCTCTATTTTGATGAATATTTTTGGTAAAAGTACTATTTTATAAACGGATAGCATGATTGCTTAAATTTTTAATATGTCTACACCTCCACTCTTGAGTCAGAGTCTAAGTCAGATTAGCTCATTTTGTTATGATAGTTAAATGCTTTGAATTTAGTGAATATTTTTGGTAAAAATTGCTATTTTTAACTATATCAGCTGACAGTCTGCTTATTTTACAGTACGTGTCTCAGCCCCACTTGCCTTACAGCTCAGTGAAATCTAAATCTGAAAATTATTTTTGGACAAAACATCAAATATAAAGGTGCTTGAATTTTAACCTATGAACTTATTAGCACAGAGATCTGTTAAACATGTCTAAGACTGAGTATTTCCATTTAAAATTAAGAAAAGATATATTCAGTGATGTCAGGGGGGGTATTGATCGACTCATTCCTCTCCTGATGGATTTCAATATGCACAGCTATTGATTCACTCCCCATCCTTTGCCTGAATAATTTCAGGGGAGCTATTTACTCACTCTTCATCCCTGCCCGACTGTTTTCAAGGGATGACTCACTAATCATTCCTCACCTGACTTGTTTTAGGGGAGCTATTGACTCGCGCTTCATCCTCATCCTGACTGATTTCAATAGGGCTATCAACTTGCTCCTCATCCTTTTCCTGACTAATAACAGAGGACCTATTGAATCACTCCTCATCTCTCTCCTGACAGATTTCAATGGAGCAATTGAATCGTAGATTTTTACCTCACCTGACAGATTTCGAACCAGATATTGACTCACTCCTCCATTCCTCACCTGGTTTCAGAAGAGCTATTGACTCACTCCGCCATCCCTAACTAGGCTTCTGTTTTTGGACAAATGAGTGTGTATAGTTTAAGCCAATATAGAGTAGTACATTGCTGGAGTATGCTCAAACTGCTAAATTTTATTTTTATTTGTCATTGATCGGACTCTGTTTTAATTTTGATTCAATCAAATATGGCAAACTGGTGGCCATTTTGGATTGTAAATCTTGTCTACCGGGTATATATGCTAATACTTGAACACTACCAGTTCACAAAGATGACTGAGTCTAAGTCAATGTAACTTAGTATGACAATAGATCGGTAATTAGGTACTGGTGCTTAGAATTTTGTTTTTTGAGATTTGATTCAAAATGGCACGCTGTTAACCATTTTTAGCTCTGCTGTCGACTTTGTCAAGCGGAGCTTATCATATGAGTGATTGTTCGTCGTCCGTCGTCGTCGTCTGTCGTCCATGTCAATGTTTTACTTTTTCGACTTCTTCTTGAAAACTACAAGCCTGAATGCTTTGATAATTGGTGTATATGTACCTTGGGTAGACCTCTCTCAGATTTGTTCATTTCATTATGATATCATCAATTCTCTAATTTTGGTGAATATTTTTGTCATTTTTGGTAAAAAATGATATTTTCAACTTCTTGTTAAAAACCGCAAGTCCAATTGCTTTGATATTACATATATAGGTACTATATGTGGTCCTCTCTCAGATTTGTTCATTTTGTAATGATATCTTTAATTCTCTAATTTTGGTGAATATTTTTGTCATTTTTGGTAAAAAGTGATATTTTCGACTTCTTGTTGAAAACCGCAAGTCCAATTGCTTTGATATTACATATATAGGTACTACATGTGGTCCTCTCAGATTTGTTCATTTCATAATGATATATTCAGTTCTCTAATTTTGGTGAATATTTTTGTCATTTTTGGTAAAAAGTGATATTTTCAACTTCTTGTTAAAAACCGCAAGTCCAATTGCTTTGATATTACCTATATAGGTACTACATGTGGACCTCTCAGATTTGTTCATTTTGTAATGACATCTTCTGTTCTTTAATTGCCATGTGCATTGCTAACAGCGGAGCTATCTCAGCCGACAGGCTGCTTGTTTTTAAAGTGCTTCTACATTTATGTGCTTTATTAGGTTATTAATTGCTGGTGTCAAACCTATACTCAATATGACCAGATTCATAATGTCACTAATAAAACCTGAACTATGTCTTGTTATTTCTAGGTGAAAAGAAGCATCGATGTGAGGTTTGTGGAAAACAGTTTGGTAGAATTGGTCATTATAAGGACCACCTGAGGATTCATACTGGTGAGAAACCATTCAAGTGTAATGTGTGTAGTAAAGCCTTCTCACAGCGTTCTGGAATGAAGTACCATATGGTGAAAGAACATGACTGCTCTTCTTCTGATGATCACAAAATTTCATCGTTTTATGCCTCCGGAAATCAAAATATGATGGCTGATGCAGTTGCCATGGATATCAAGGATGAGTCAGCTGTCAGTTCTCCATCAATGAGTGTATCATCGTCTTCATTAGACAATTCTGTGAGTAAAGATGAAGAAAGTGAGAATGAGGATGAAGATTTGGAGGATGATGATAATAGTGACAACGAAGAGTCTAATGATGTGATTAATGGCAAAGAGGATAAAACACCACAAAAGAAATCAAATAGAAAAGTAGATGAGCATAACTCTTTACTCAAGCAGGTTCTCTTGGAGCCGATGCCAAAATACAATGTTAATCCCATTTCCACTAATGGGGGTGAAACTACCGCTACTCGATGCAAAGAAACAAGCGACCGAACAATCAGTGATTCAAATGTCGACAGTCATTCCATTTATTTAAGTGAAGAAATTTCAAAAGATTTTGGGGAAATGAATTTCCCATCACCAGTTAATGATGCTCCCATGGTGCATCCTGTTCTCCAGGAATATACCACTTTTTAGCTGGGGAAGGTCACTCTACTTTTCACAACAACTTTTTTCTCTACATGCTGTCTTATAATATCATGTTTACTCTGTATTAGAAATGAGTATTAAATAGAAATGTATATACAATGTAGAAGATAAAAAGCTGCCTGTTCAAGTTTACAGACCTAATTATTTTGACAAGGCACAAAGACAAGCACACATTCTTACATATACAGCAAACTTGTATTTTTAATCTGCTTTGTGAAATGTACAAGTTTTGAAGGAATTTGAGATGTAATAGCAAACAGCGAAGGTAAAACTAAGATTTGATATTTGGCCGACATCTCATTGACATGCATCTTTTTTTATTGTTTTCACCTGATGAATGTTCTTGTATTAATTAATTAATTAATTTTCACTTAAATCAGCATTTTATTGAAAACGAAAACATCATCAGTACTCAGTGAAAACATGAAGAATCAGTCTTAATGTACTTAATGTCACCAATTTGTTGAGAAAAAAAATGTTTCACTTTCATAATATATTTCTGTGTTATGTTGGCACACTGATCGACTACTTTTAATAGTGTTAATATGTTGAATGCCAACGTCAGCTTTTGTCACTTTCACTAAATAAACCTGTACATTATTTTGATATTTTCACAAAGATCTGTTAGGAAATTATCTCTATTTGGTTTAAAATTAACAACAAAATCATAGAAAACTAAATTAAATGTAAACAATTTTTGTTGTTGATATTGAAAATGTTATTTGTATTCTGACGTTTTGTACAAAGTGATGATTGACTTGACAATAGTAGTAAAATGTAATACTTGCTTAATTATTACAAATTTCACATCAACCATGTCTATTCTCATTTTTTGCTAGGGTGCCTTTAAGCAGACCCCCTAAGCCAATATATGGAATGAATCCTATATCTGTTCATTAAAAGTTTATTGTTAAATATTTATTAAAGCAGACCCTAATAAGTGTGTTTACTTCTGCAGATACAGCGACTGAAAATGTTGCTGCCTTTGTAACCCGAAGTCAACTTGTTGGACTTCTCAAACCTCCATCAATTATTTCCATATTTATTATTTGGTCCAAAATTAATGAAATTATAGAAACCTGCGTTAGTGACCTCCTCTATACAAAGATCACTTTTAGGAAGTGGTGGAAGTGAGTGAACACGTGGTGGAAGTGAGTGAACACGTGGTGGAAGTGAGTGAACACGTGGTGGAAGTGAGTGAACACGTGGTGGAAGTGAGTGAACACGTGGTGGAAGTGAGTGAACACATGGTGGAAGTGAGCGAACATGTGGTGGAAGTAACATGTGGAAGTAAGTGGACATGGTAGCCAGTGAGCGTAGTGAAAGAAAGTTGATATGTGGTGGCAGTGTGTAAACACATGCTAGTAGTAAGTAAACATGCGGTAACAGTGTGTAAACACATGGTGGTAGTAAGTAAACATGCGGTGACAGTGTGTGAACACATGGTGGTAGTAAGTAAACATGCGGTGACAGTGTGTGAACACTTGGTGGAAGTGAGTGAACACGTGGTGGAAGTAACATGTGGAAGTAAGTGGACATGGTAGTCAGTGAGCGTAGTGAAAGAAAGTTGATACGTGGTGGCAGTGTGTAAACACATGCTGGCAGTGTGTGAACACATGGTTGTAATAAGTAAACGTGCAGTGGCAGTTTGTGAATGGTGGTAAATAAACATGCA